CCCCCCCCCCCCCCGCCCCGCAGAACCCACCAGAACCCCCCGGAACTCTGCCAGTTATCCCAAACTGCAGAACGTTCCCACCAGCTGTCTCCCAGCACCTTAAAGACGGCGAAACCGGGCTGCCGCGGGAGACTCACATCTGGGGCCACGTTTATGCTGCTGAGCAGCGAGCGCACTCTGCCCTGAAGAGGACAGCGGTCCCTGCTGTGGTGACGGGTGACGACACACACACTAGCTGTTCGCCCTTCGCTCAGATCACACTGGGGGTCTGTGCCCGCACAGCTAGGCCGTCGATGAAGGCTCCACATGAGGATCCACTGGGCACCGTGCCGCCCCCACGGCGGCTGATAAATGCCGCTTGTCATTATCTGCCAGGCACGACAAGCCTACCTCCGTAAAAACCGGCGTGGGCTGAGCGCCCAGTGAGCGCGGGGCATGCGGTGATAGGTGTTTTCGTTGTCTGCACAGGACAAGGTCAGCGTTGGGGGAGTTTTCTTGAGAGACGAGGGGTTTCGTCCGGAAAGGCAGATGTAGGGAGAGTAGAACAGAAGCTTTCTGGACTGGCGGGTGGTGAGGACGGGCTCGGGCGCAAGAACGCAGACTCCGGAGAGGGCAGACAGCCCAGATGGGCCAGTGCGCGCCGGGCCCCGGTGGGAGGCGGGAGACGGTCACTGGGGCGGTGCCTCACTTGGGCACCACCTGAAAAAATCGCCACAAACTTGGTGGTTTAAAACAACAAAGATTACTTTTCTCAGGGTTGTGGAGGCCGGTTGCCTCACACTCTCTCCAAAGGCTGTAGGGGAGGAGCCTTCCTGCCTCTTCCAGCTTCTGGTGGCTCAGGCGTCCCCTGGCTGTGTCTGTCCAGCCTCTGCTTCTGTCGACACCTGGGCTTCTCCCCTGTGTTTCTGTGGATCAGGTTCCCCACCCCTCCCGCCGCCCGTGTCTTCCCCCTGTAAGTATACCTGTTGTGGGGTTTAGGGCCGCTCCCAAATCCAGGATGATCTCGCTCAAGAGTCTCAATTTAATTATACCCACAAAGACTCTGTCCGAGTCAGGTCACAGTCACGTGTTTGGCAGTTAGGACTCGGACGTAACATTTTGGGGGCCATCGTTGAACCGCTTGGCTTCTACGATTCTCCCCCTGTCTGTGAGCCAACGGAAGCGACCTTAAAATGTGTTTCTAGGTGAAAAAAAAGGAGTGGCACGTGTGGACATTCGGTGTCGAGGGACGCACATCAAGTGTGCTCTTGTTGTGTGCGAAGAGTTGAGGCAGGAACGTTCTTTTGTAAACCAAACTGGCGCTTAGTCGTTAAGAGGGAGTCGTGCAGCCCACCAGCGGCCGGGCCTGTTCCCCACTTGGGGGAACAGTCGTCCAAGCGGCTCCAAGTGGCTTCAATACCAGGACGGGTGTGTCGGGCCAGGGGACCCATCGGCTTCTCTTTAGGGAGAAGCCCAGGGGCAGGCTGGGGAGGGCGTGGGCAGGCCCGCTGCGTAGGGCCACGGGGACTGTGCCAGCAGCTGCCCGGTTTGCCCAGCCTTGCACTCTGTGGGGCTGTCAGACCAAAGCAGGGAGCCCCGGCAATCCTCTCCCTCCCTGTCACAGTCCACCAGCGGAAATGGGCGCCTCCTCCTAATTTGCACACGTACCGGAGTGCTCATGGTGACCCTGGGGGCCCCAGTGTGAGCAGGGACACCAGTTGGGAAGCGTCTGACCTTTCATTGTCCCTTTTACTCCTCCTTCCCTTTAAAAGCTTCTCTCATCCTCGGGGTGGGGCAGAAGGGTCTGTTCCTATCCATATGGGCTCCCGGAGGGGATCTCGAGACTCTCTCCATGTTGGGAGAAATCCCACTTCTGTATACTTCTTATCTCGGTGTGAGCTTTTCATACCAAAGCTTCAGAACAAACTGGGGCACAATGAGGGGACATTCATATTTAAGATTCCCCCCCCCCCCGGGGGACGTAGCCCACGCAGAGGTATTATGATGTCCCAGCGATAGCCCAGAGTGGTGACAAATGCTTTCGTGTTTATTATTTGAGAAGTGGATTGAGCCAGAGGCCTGGGTCACTGGTGCCCGTTTCAGAGGGCTCCCGCCCCTGCAATTAGGAAGAACGTGGTGGATGTCCCGTTAAGAGCAGGTGTGAGCCTGCGGGATGTGGGCTGAGCGTTTGCCCAGGGAGTATTAATCACCCCCTGTCCCTCATTGAAGTGTCAGAGTGTGAACAGGGATGGCTGGTTGGGTCAAGCAGCAAGCGCGGGCTGGACAGGTCGTGCTGGACAGCGCTGAGTTGGAGGGTGGCGAGTGCACTAAAATGAATGCCTCCTGGAAATCAAAGGGGCTTGGGAATTTTTTTGCCACCACTTGCTCATACCGGCATTTCACAGAGGAGTGACAGGCTCTCTGAGTGTTGGGTGTTTGAAGAAAAGTACCGTGACTTCACAGGAGCCTGACGATGGGCCTAGGTCGTCCACCATGGACAAATAGCTTTCTCCCATCCTTTGACCTGGCAGGCCCCGCCTGGAGAGATCAGGGCTGGCTTCTAAGTGAGGGAGCTGACCTCGCCATGTCTGTGCATGTGTGTGCGTGTGTGTGTGCACCAGTGCTCGTGAATGCATGCGGCTGTGTACGTGGTTTTGGTTTTGGTTTTTGTTTTTGCAGGGTCCAGGGGGAAGGAGGACCTGTTTTCCGTGGCGGGACAGCGATAGAATCATCTAGTTTGGGTGCCTGAGGGGCTGTAACTTGGGGGGACTTGATGAAACCCAGCAAAGAAATTGGAAAGGGTCTTTGGGGCTGGGGGGGGGGGGGGGGGGGGAGCGGAATTTCCCAATTAAAAGGTAGGGAAAATCTTTGGTCCTGATCCTTGTAGGTCAAGTAGAATCAGTGAAACCTCTTAAATTAAGTAGGCAAGAATACTTGTGTCCAGGGGCTGAAATAAGATGCTGTAACTGACTCTTCGTCGTCTTCATTTTTGGCGAATCTTCCTGTCGACAACTTATGAAGAGGAGAGGAAGAGAATGTTTTTGAAAAATATTTTTTTAAAGGATGGTTAATTTCCCTCCTCTGTAAACTATTCTGATAGCTTGGTACTAATCACTGGAATTAACAGATGGCTTGGCAGTGAAGTCATCTGCAGGCAGAAGGCCAGAGGAGTTATGAAGGATAAAGA